TTGAGGCCAAGTGTTCAGACCAGCTTGGCCAACATGGCGAAACCCTGTCTCTACTAAAAACACAAAAATTAACCAGGCATGGTGGTGCATGCTTGTAATCCCAGCTACCTCAAATCTGAGCCTTTTTTTGAGGTTCTGTTTCAAAAAAAAAAAAAAATGAAATTCTGATACATGCTAGGATGTGGATGGACCTTGAAGACATCCTTAGTGAAATAAGTCAGACACAATGGGATACATTTTGTACAATACCTCTTATATGAGGTACCTACAGTAGCCCAAATGCATAGTACAATCAATGGTAGTTGCCAGAAGCTGAAGGGGATGGTAGTGGAGAGTCATTGTTTAATGGGTACAGAGTTTCTATTTGGGATAATGAAAAATTGGGGAATGGACAGCAGTGATAGTTGTACAGTGTCCGTATACTTAATGCCACTGAAATGATCAGTTAAACTCGTAGTACTTTTTTTTTTTTTTGGAGACAGAGTCTTGCTGTGTTGCCCAGGCTTGAGTGCAGTGACATGACCTTAGCTTGGCTCACTGTAACCTCTGCTTCCTAGGCTTAAACGATTCTTGTACCTGGAGCCAGTGGGAGCCCATCTGAGTTGGGACAGGAGCTCCCTGTGCCACTGCAGCCACCAAACACAGCTGCAGACCCAGGCCCTCCTGCTCTATGGAGCAGGCAGGAGCCCCACCCAGGAGGCTACAACTGCCCAGACTGCAGCTGTGGATCATTGCCTCCCTGTGCTCTCCGGGGAGCCTGGAACAGGCAGTATCTGCCCTCCCAGGTGCGGCTGCAGACCTGGGCCTCCTGTTCCAGGAAGCAGGATGGGAGCTTCTGGGTACAGCTGCAGCTGCTGCCCTCCCAGGCACAGGACCTGGGCATCTCTGCACCCTCAGGGGCCCCCTGAAGGACGCCCCCCATCCCGATCCCCTATCCCTGCAGGCTTAGGGATGTCTATTCCCACTGCCTGGCCTCTCTCTGCTCCTAGAACCTGCTCTGATCTTGGAGCAGAGCAGAGTTGGGGACAAGCCCAGGGGTTGTGAATGGCAGCAGGAGGCAGACAGAGTCGTGGGTGGGAGGGGGTGGGGTCCACAATAAGGCCCCACCCTTAGGCCAGGGAGGGCCTGAAGGCTGGTGGCTGGGCTGCCAGTCCCACTGACTGGAGTGGGGACTCATGGTGCCTCTTGTGAGCTTGCCCATGGCTGCCTATGGACCTTCCTCCCCTCTGAGGTCCATAAAAGCCCTGGGCTCAACCAGAGAGGGCAGGGGATGTCTGGAGGATGAAGAGGGCAGAGAGACGATGGGACTTGATGGCCAGCTGCAGAGAGAGGAGTACCCTTTCTGCTGATAGCAGGAGACTATGGGACAAGCAGTTGCAGAGGGAGTATCCTCTCCACTAAGAGCTGAGGAGAGAAGCTGGGCGCGGTGGCTCAAGCCTGTAATCCCAGCACTTTGGGAGGCTGAGGCGGGTGGATCACAAGGTCGAGAGATCGAGACCAACCTGGTCAACATGGTGAAACCCCGTCTCTACTAAAAATACAAAAAATTAGCTGGGCATGGTGGCACGTGCCTGTAATCCCAGCTACTCAGGAGGCTGAGGCAGGAGAATCGCCTGCACCCAGGAGGCGGAGGTTGCGGTGAGCCGAGATCGCGCCATTGCACTCCAGCCTGGGTAACAAGAGTGAAACTCCGTCTCAAAAAAAAAAAAAGAGCTGAGGAGACGATCTGCTAGCAGAGAGGAGCTACCCTGTCTTCTGAGAGCTTCAGAGACCTGCAGAAGTGTTGGAATGACTTGCCTGCAGAGAGGAGCCACCCTCTCTAGGGCTGCTTCTTTCCTAAGAACTGAACACTCCCGAGCTATTCTAATTCTAAATAAAACTCTTCTGGTCAAGTCAGTGGCCTGTAATCCCAGCACTTTGGGAGGCCCAGTGGGGTAGATCACCTTAGGTTGGGAGTTGGAGACCAGCCTGACCAACATGAAGAAATCCTGTCTCTACTAAAAATACAAAATTAACCAGGCATGGTGGTCCATGCCTGTAATCCCAGCTACTCATGAGGCTGAGGCAGGAGAATCACTTGAACCCAAGAGGCAGAGGTTGCGGTGAGCTGAGATTGCACCATTGCACTCTATCCTGGGCAACGAGAGCGAAACTCTGTCTCAAAAAAAAAAAAACACCAAAAAACCAAAACTGGCGGGCACGGTGGCTCACAACTATAATCTTAGCACTCTGGGAGGCCAAGGCGGGCAGATCACTTGAGGTCAGGAGTTCAAGGCTAATCTGCTCAACATGGTGAAACCCCGTCTCTACTAAAAATAAAAATTGGCTGGGCATGGTGGTGTGCGCATGTAGTCCCAGATACTTGGGAGGCTGAGGCAGGAGAGTTGCTTGAACCCAGGAGATGGAGGATGCAGTGAGCCAAGAATGTGCCAGTGCACTCTGGCCTGGGCAACAGAACGAGACTCTGTTAAAAAAAAAAATTCTTCTTTACCCTTCACTTGTCTGCATACTTCATTCTTCCTGATGCAAGACAAGAACTCAGGCAGAGGCGCCATGGCCACAAAGGTTTCCAGCCAGAAAATTCAACACCTCAGAGATCCTGTAACACCGGCACTTTGAGAGGCTGAGGTGAGAGTGTCACTTGAGCCCAGGAGTTTGAGACCAGCCTAGGCAACATAGTGAGATGCCATCTCTACAAAAAAATTTAAAAGTTAGCTGGGTATGGTGGTACACACCTGTATCCCTAGGTACACAAAAACTTGAGGCAGGAGGATCACTTGAGCCCGGGATTTTGAGGCTGCAGTGAGCTACAATTGAGACACTTCACTTCAGCCTGGGTGTCAGAGTGACAGAGCGATAGGGTTTCACCATGTTGCCCAAGCTGGTCTACTGGGCTCAAGCAACCCACCCACTTTGGCCTCCCAAAGTGCTAGGATTACAGGCATGTGCCACCGTGCCCGGTTTTCTTTCTTTTTTATTTTTTTCAAAGATGGGGTTTCATTACATTGCCCAGGCTGGAGTATAGTGCCTATTCACAGGCACTGTCACAGCATCTTCCAGCCATGAACTCCTAGGCTCAAGTGATCCTCCCACCTCAGCCTCCCAAGTAGCTGTGACTGTAGCAGTATACCGTATCTCATTCTGTGATTCATTTCTGATTGTTTTCACAGAATTGTGGGCACTTTTCCAGCTCTGTCCTTCTCTTCAGTGGCTGGTTCATTCATTTGTGCATTTGTTCACTTATTCAACAAGCATTTATTGAGTACTGTGTCCCAGGCACTGTGGAGCAAAGGTACTATATGCTCTTGGGAGCAAAGCAACTGCTTACAGTCTGATGGGAGAGACAACCAAATAATCACACAAACACATGGTTATAAACCATGGTAATGCCATGAAAGACAGGAGAGTGGAACCTAACCAAATGGGAGAAAATGGTGGTCAGAGAAGGCTTCCCTGGAGAAGGGACAGTAAGCCAACTATGCAAACTGGAGTGGAGGTGGGTGGGGGTGGTCCCAAGATTAATGTGGGCATATGGAATAGTTGTGCAAAGGCCCTGAGGCAAGAGGGAGCCTGGGACACTGGAGGGAACCCGGTAAGAGCTGGGGGACAGTTAGGGGATCAGGCCTGGCATTGAAGATCTTTACCCTATGCAAAGATCACCGATCCTGGCCAGTCGTGGTGGCTCATGCCTATAATCCTAGCACTTTGGGAGGATGAGGCAGGCATATTGTCTGAGCTCAGGAGTTTGAGACCATCCTGGGCAGCAAGGTGAAACCCCGTCTCTTCTAAAATACAAAACAACAATAACTAGGCAGGCATGACAGTGTTGTGCACCTGCAGTCCCAGCTACTCAGGAGGCTGAGGCAGGAGAATCGCTTGAACCTGGGAGGCAGAGATTATGGTGAGCTGAGATGGTGCCACTGCTCTCCAGCCTGGGTGACAGAACGAAACTCCATCTCAAAAAAAAAAAAAAAAAAAATCACCGATCCTTATAAAGAATATATTGTGGCCGGGCGCAGTGGCTCACGCCCGTAATCCTAACACTTTGGGAGGCTGAAGTGGATGGATCACCTGAGGTCAGGAGTTCAAGACCAGCCTGGCCATCAGGGTGAAACCCCATCTTTAAAAAAAAAAAAAAAAAAAAAAAAGAATATATTTTATACTTCAGAGGACAAAAATGAAGGAAGGTGACCACTCCTGCCCTTTTCCCTCAGTACTAAGCTGTTCTACTCTTGGGCCACTCCAGCCAGGGTTCTTCTGCTTTCGTTTTCATGTCCGAGAATTCTTTTAGCTGTTCTTCCCTCCTCAATGTCCTGTCCTTGGGTCTCAGCCTGGTGGCGTCTTCTTTGTCTTTTTTTTTTGAGACAGGGTCTCACTGTCGCCCAGGCTGGAGTGCAGTGGTGCAATTTCAGCTCACTGCAACCTCTACCTCCTGGGTTCAAACAATTCTCATGCCTTAGCCACTAGGATGTAGCTGGGGTTACAGGCACCCACCAGAACACCTGGCTAATTTTTTTTTTTTTTTTTGTACATTTAGTAGAGACGGGGTTTCAACATGTTGGCCAGGCTGGTCTCAAACTCCTAACCTCAAGCCATCTGACCACCTTGGCCTTCAGAAGTGCTGGGATTACAGGCGTGAGCCACTGCGCCTTCTCCCAGACAGAGCCTCTCCTCTTCCCCAGCACTTCCCTTGCTCTGCCTGCCTCCCACCCCCAACCCTCAGGCCTCCAGGCCTCCACATGGAGCACCAGCCCCAGCTTCTGCCCTGACCCCTACCCCTGGTTGGGTGCCCTACTGTGTGCTGTAGACAGTGCCAAGCCCACAGTCCCGGTGTGTCTCCAAGAACTCTGACTCCTGGGTTCTGTTCTTATCTGGCCCTTGCCTGCCTCATGGGCAAAGTAACTCTGGGCTGTGGGCCAGGAGGGGACTGGGAGCACCTGCAGCCTGGACATAGATTTGATAGGTTTGAGCCAAGATGGAGACCACTAAAGGGAAACACGTGGCAGATGGCCTCAGCCTTTATTAGAGGGACTTAGTTCACGGAAGGAGGGGGAATTGTTATGCAGGGGTTTGAAGTGATAAAATGGGAGGAAAGTTGATTCTGGCAGGAGTGAGGTGAGAGGAATAACAGTATTGGAAGGTGAGGCACTGGGGGCAAGGAGAGGGACAGAGGGAGGAGAAGGTTCTCGGGGAGAGGGGGACAGGAGGAGGAGGTGGGGGCACCAAGGGAGCCACAGGCCTGGGCCTGGGAGTAGGCAGGGTTGGGAGCTGGACGGTGTCCGGGGCTTCCTGGAGAAGCCAGTGTTCTGGGTGGACCTCCTCACTTGCGGGCACCCAGTGCCAGGGCAATGATGAAGCCCAGGACCAGCAGGAACATGGCAACAGAGAGCAGCACTGTGATGATCACCATGCCCCCCGTTCGGGCCATGCCCAATCCAATGGACTCCATGTTCCTTCCTGTTAGAAGAGGGAGAGGGAGGCCACTGTGGGCAGAAGTCCCCAGCCTGCCTGGGGCTCACAGCCTTGCACTCAGCCAGCCAACAAACTGACCAGCTGATGGATCCAAACACCCGTCATATACACAGTTATGAAGCGTCTCCTACGTCAGCTGCTGAGGAAAAGTTAATAGAACACAGTCCCTGCCCAGGAGGAACCTTTAGCTGAGTGTGCAGTTGCCATGCCAAAGGCTCTGTGCTAGGATAGAGGTAAGCAGGGGCCCTGAGGACACACGGGGAGGCACAGGCAACCCGGACTGGGGATGAGGCAGGAACGATCAGGGAAGATTTTGTCCACTGAGACAGGAAAGGGAGGTGGGAGTGTTACTTACGAGGGAGTGTGGACATTGGGATCTCTCTGCTGGACTCAGTGGCTGTCCCCTTCTTCACTAGGTAGGAGATGCTTTTGTGGTGGGTTTGGGAGAGAGTAGAGAAACCTCAGTGAGTATCTGGGACTTAGAGGAAGAGGGGCTCCAGCCTGGGTCACCTCCCTTTGCAGCTGCGGCTCCCTTATGTGCACTGCTCCAAGAGAGGCCCAGCTTTCACCCCCTTTTGCTGTGCCCTCACTCTCTCCCCATGTCCACCAGATCTCCCCCACACCGGCTTCTCTTCCTGTACCCCTTTCCATAGGCACTCCAGGCTGGACCCAGTACCTACTAGTATTTGGTTCCTGGCACAAGGTTGGTCACCTGGTATGCACTGAGCCGCGTGACTGTGAAGCCAGCTCCACTGTCCACCACACTCACCAGTTCCCTGCGCCCACGGCACGGAGGCACCACAAAGCTGGACTTCACCACTGGACAGAAATTGGGAGAGGGGAAGGCTTGGTCAAGTTTCTGGAGGCCCCAAGGAGAAGGGGTAGCTTTTAGGGTGCCCCAGGAAAGGGTGGACGGAAGGCATGAATGGGAAAAGGGGCACAGGGGGTGTCCCAGGAAGGGGCCTTTGGGGACTAGAGGGATGCCTTGGGAGAAGGTAGCAGACCTTTGCTGTCATTGGCTCTCCGGACCATCAGTGTGGCGTTGCCTCCTGTGAGGTGACAGGGTGGTAAGGCAACCAGCAGGCTCTCCGATAGCACCGGGGACAGCAGACCAGAGAGGCTTGAGATGTTGAACTCTGATGGGAGGCAGGAGGGAGCTCAGGTGGGGATTGACCTCCTGGCCAACAGATCTGTTCCGTCCAATTGGAGCCGTCTCCCTTTCCACTCTGCGAAGCCTGGGCAGAATAGCCAAGCCAGGCGTCCCCAACCTACGGCCTGCGGGCCGCATGCGGCCCCCTGAGGCCATTTATCCACCCCGCTGCCACACTTCAGGAAGGGGCACCTCTTTCATTGGTGGTCAGTGAGAGGAGCACAGTATGTGGCGGCCCTCCAACGGTCTGAGGGACAGTGAACTGGCCCCCTGTGTAAAAAGTTTGGGGACGCCTGGCAAGCCTGTGCCGTGTGACCACCAGATGGCAGGCTTGGGCTGCAGAAGCTGCATGCTCTACCAAGCAGTCCCCAGAGCCAGATCCAGGATGCCAGGAGCTGGGCAGCACCCAACCTCACCCCTCCCTGCAGCCTCGGATCCTTGCCCACACTCCTCTGCCTCCTAGGTCTGAAGGAGGATCAGGAGTGTGTCCTGGGCCCAGTGTCTGATACCTGATCACTCCCATCACCAGCCCTGATTCCCAACTATCCAGACCTCTCTTTGAGAGCCCTGGAAGGTACAGTGCTCCCTCTCCAGGGCCCCAGCTCCCTTCCCACCCCTGCCAGAGATGGCAGAGACCTGCAACCCCTGGGGACAGCACCACCAGCAGAATCAGGATCAAGGGCAAGGTCCGGATGGGCAGCAGGGGTGCCATGCTGGGCTGGGAGCCGGAACAGGTGCTGGCAGGCCAGGGTTCTTGAGGCAAGTGAGGCCCTGCCCCTGAGGTGGCTGATTTTGTCCTGGGGGTGGGAGGGGCTGGAGGGAATCCAGTCCAACCTGCCCCTTGGGCCCTATAGCCTCAAAAGGGTGGGGGCAACAGACAGGTTTTTCAGGATGGGTAGCTGGCCCTCAGGCCAGGAGGGGGCCACTCTGGCTGGATCCTAGTGGCTTAGCCAGCTGTTGAGAGCTGGGTAACTAAGGTGGGGATATAAATCACCCCTTCTTTTGGGACTCCTGTGTAAGGCAGTATTCCTGTGTGCATGAGCATCTGGAACCCAGCCTGTCCTTGAGGGACTGCTCCCCCAAAATGGTGGGGGGGTCTTTCCAGGAGGGTGATGAGTTCAGAAGTTGCCCTGGTGTGTAGGAAGATAATACCCCAAAGGGCACCACAGTGGTGCATGCCTGTAGTCCCAGCTATTCGGGAGGCTGAGGCTGGAGGATCTCTGGAACCCAGGAGTTCTGGGCTGTAGTGTGCTATGCTGATCAGGTGTCTGCACTAAGTTTGGCATCAATATGGTGACCTTAGGCCGGGTGCGGTGGCTCAAGCCTGTAATCCCAGCACTTTGGTAGGCCGAGGCGGGTGGATCACAAGGTCAAGAAATCGAGACCATCCTGGTCAACATGGTGAAACCTCGTCTCTAGTAAAATACAAAAAAAATTAGCTGGGCATGGTGGCGCGTGCCTGTAGTCCCAGCTACTCAGGAGGCTGAGGCAGGAGAATTGCTTGAACCCAGGAGGCGGAGGTTGCGGTGAGCCGAGATCACGCCATTGCACTCCAGTCTGGGTAACAAGAGCGAAACTCCATCTCAAAAAAAAAAAAATTATATATACATATATATATATATAGTGACCTCCCGGGAGCGGGGGACCACCAGGTTGCCTAAGGAGAGGTGAACCGGCCCAGGTCAGAAACGGAGCAAGTCAAAACTCCTGTGCTGATCAGTAGTGGGATTGCGCCTGTGAATAGCCACTGCACACCAGCCTGGGCAACATAGTGAGACCCCGTCTCTTAAAAATAAATAAATAAATAAGAAGGATCTTGGGTGGTAAGAATGGGAGAGAAACATTCTGGTAGGGAGAAGCAGCAGACCAAAGGTTTCAATTCTTGGAGCGCACTGAGCTCAGGTGCTGCTGCTCTGGGAGAAGCAGGGACTGTGGGGGCCAGGGAGCACATGTGGCTTCAGAGTCCTCTGGAGGGTAGGGACGAGGGTGGCCATGGAAGACTTCTAGAGAGACCAGAGATACTGACATTGACCTGGGCCAGCAGGGGTTGGGGTGGGTGCTGTCAGCTTTGGGCAACAGCCATCTGTTGAACTGAAAATGAAGAAAACAAAGAGACCTCATAAGAGAACATGAAAAAGACAGAACTGGCTGGGTGCAGTGGATCACGCCTGTAATCCCAGCACTTTGGGAGGCCGAGGCGGGCAGATCATGAGGTCAAAAGATCGAGACCAGCCTGGCCAACATGGTGAAACCCCGTCTCTACTAAAAATACAAAAATTAGCTGGGCATGGTGGCGTGTGCCTGTAGTCCCAGCTACTCAGGAGGCTGAGGCAGGAGAATTGCTTGAACCCAGGAAGCAGAGGTTGCAGTGAGCCGAGATTGTGCCACTGCACTCCAGCTTGGGGACAGAGTGAGACTGTCTCAAAAAAAAAAAAAAAAAGAAAAAGAACTTCTCTGACTGCCTTCTCCAGCCCTCACTACATCAGAGAGAAGCAGAGGAGGAGTTCTGAGCCGATGGAGAGGAGAGGAGAGGAGAGCAGTCAGGACCTCCCCTGGGCGCTGGGCAGGCGTTCTGTGTGCTCCATCATAGCCTTACAGCCATCCTGGGTGGTAGATGGTATTGGTTCCCTTTTGTAGAAGTAGAGCTGAGGCCGGGCATGGTGGCTTATGCCTGTAATACCAACACTTTGGGAGGCCAAGGCGGGCGGATCACAAGGTCAAGAGATTGAGACCATCCTGGCCAACATGGTGAAACCCCATCTCTACTAAAAATACAAAAATTAGCCAGGCCACTAAAAATAAAAAAATTAGCTGGGCGTGGTGGCATGAGCCTGTGGTCCCAGCTACTCGAGAGGCTAAGGTGCAAGAATCGCTTGACCCCAGGAGGCAGAGGTTGCAGTGAGCTAAGATTGCGCCACTGCACTCCAGCCTGGCGACAGAGCGAGACTCCGTCTCAAAAAAAAAAAAGAAAAAAAGAAAAAAAAAAGTTGTGAAAATTGAGACTCAGACACATAGAGTTACTTGTGAAGAGTGGAATACTTTGTCAGGAGAGGTAGTAGAATTTACAGAAGCCTGAAAGCTGTACAGAGACTGCTGTTGTACATCTATGTGCTCCATGAATTATTCTATCCTCCTAAGTCCCAGGGAAGGGTTAGGGTTCTGGTAGGAAAGTGAGGGAGGTTGTGTCCTTACGGCCAAGGTGGGAAGGGTAGGCTCAAAGTCTGGGGTGTGAGTGGAGAATGACAGTAAAGGTAGAGCTCATGGGCCTAAGGCAGAGGGTAGGAGGGTCTTAAAGCCAGTGTTTCTCCAAATTTAATGTGCATATGAATTACCAGGGATCTTATTAAGATGCAGCTTCTCATGCAGTCATGCAGTGGGTCTGAAATTATCCATTTCTTTTTTATGTTTGTTTTTGTTTTTGAGACAGTCTCTGTCATCCAGGCTGGAGTGCAGTGGCATGATCTCGGCTCACTGCAACCTCAGCCTCCCAAGTTGCATGGATTAGAGGCTCCTGCCACCACACCCAGTTAATTTTCGTATTTTTAGTAGAGATGGAGTTTCACCATGTTAGCAAGGCTGGTCTCAAACTCCTGACCACAAGTGATCCACCCGTCTTGGCCTCCCAAAGTGCTGGGATTACAGGCGTGAGCCACCGCGCCTGGTCAATCCTGCATTTCTAGTGACTTCTCAATAACATTGATGATGCTGGTCTGAGAGGCCCACACTTGGAGTTACCAGGGGCTCTGTATTGGTAAACACCATCCCCTACCCCCAACTGAATCCTCTTCTACCAACATCAGGGATCAGGGCAGGTGTTCCTTCTCAATCTGTCCAAACAGGCTGCTTTTGGGGGAAGAATTTGATTCTGTTTTCCTGCACCTTGGCTTTTGTTCCTTTTAGACTAGATCCTACCACCACTGCACGAAACTGAAAGAGGATCTTTTGCACATTAAGGAGAGCTTGAGAGGGGGGGACAGACTAAATGATGGAACGCCAGGGTGAGGGGATCTTCCTGGTACTCCTCAAAACCTGTCACACACCAGTAACTTGTTTACACTTGGACTTGGGAGGCCTCTCTCCTCATGCACAACCAAGAAGCAGAAAGAAGAGGTTGGATTTATTGCAAGGTGGGTTGCGTTGGGTCCACTCTTAAGCCCCCATCCGCATCTAAAATTATGAGTGGGACAGAGTGAGGTAGGGGAGGGCAGATCTCTGACCAGATTTTAAAGGGATAAGAGGGCCCTGTGCCTTTAAGCACTCCCTTCTCCTTCCAATTCCCCCCACCTTCCCCACCCCGGCCCTCCCCAGGTTTCTGGAGGAGCCGAGAGTTGCGTCTTCTCCCTGCCCTGCCGAGCTGCTCACTGGCTGCTCTGGAGGCTGTGCTTTGCGGTCTCCATGGAAACCATTAGTTGCTAAGCAACTGGAGCATCATCTGTGCTGAGCTCTCGCATCTAATTATCCCATCACAGCGGCCGAGAAGGGTTTGGGGAGCTGAGAGGAGGGGGAGGCCAAGCACAGGAGCAAGAGGATAACTCTTTTAGCAGAGCGGATTCATTGACAATGCTGAAGTCATTTAAAGCCACAGCACCACGTTCCTCTGGAGGATTTCCCAAAGGCTTGGAGTAAGGGAACCAGGGCCCCACATGCCTGAAGTCTCTGTCTTAGACCCATTCTTTCTTGGTTGTCTCCTCTTTGGATTCTTGATTCTAAACTCTCTTGAGTTCCCTCCTCTGCCTCCTTTCTTCCAAATCTCCTATTCAAGTACTCCTATTGAGTAGCAAGTATGTCCTTGCAACTGCACTAGCCACCAGGGACATAAAGGTAAGATAAGTTTCTGCCCTCAGAGAGCTCTTAATAGCTCTAGTCTGCTCAGCCTAGAAGACTATCTCCTAAAACAAACCTCCTCTGGCCGGGCGCGGTGGCTCAAGCCTATAATCCCAACACTTTGGGAGGCTGAGGCGGGTGGATCACGAGGTCAGGAGATCGAGACCATCCTAGTCAACATGGTGAAACCCCGTCTCTACAAAAAATACAAAAAATTAGCTGGGCATGGTGGCACGTGCCTGTAATCCCAGCTACTCAGGAGGCTGAGGCAGGAGAATTGCCTGAACCCAGGAGGCGGAGGTTGCGGTGAGCCGAGATCGCGCCATTGCACTCCAGCCTGGGTAACAAGAGCGAAACTCCGTCTCAAAAAAAAAAAAAAAAAAATTAAAAAAAAACCAAAAAAACAAAAAAAACCCCTCCTCTTTCTGGACTATGGTCTCTTTTCTCCTTTTTTTTTTTTTTTTTTTTTTTTTTCACTTGAACTATAGCAGGTCTGCAACCAAGAGAGCTAGGATCAGAACCCAGGTGTGTCTGACATCCCAGGATTCTCCTTCCACAGCGCCACTCTGCCTCCCAGTCAATTAGAAAAACATGTCTACTTGGCAGCAGGGGCAGGTCAGCCTCTGATGGCAGCTACTGTCCTCTTGTTGATGAGATACCATATGACTTTAGGTGGACCTCAATTTTCTCACATTTAAAATGGAAGACTTAGCTGGGTGCCATGGCTCATGCCTGTAATCCCAGCAGTTTGAGAGGCCAAGGTGGGAGGATCACCTGAAGTCAGGAGTTCAAGACCAGCCTGGCCAACATGGTGAACCCCATCTCTACTAAAAATACAAAAATTACCTGGGGGTGGTGGTGCACACCTGTAATCTCAGCTACTCAGAAGGCTGAGGCATTGAATGGCTTCAATCCAGGAGGTGGAGGTTGCAGTG